TCCAAGAATCTTGGAGTATTTGCCTGACACGTGACCAGCGTTTACCAGGGCTATGTCGCCGCCTTCAATTCGCGACTAGCCCTGGGTACGAGGTTGACTCCGTTGGTCTGCAGGAAACTATTGTCTCCAGGTTGTGCTTCCAGGAAGAAAATTATTTTTATCCAGCCCTGGATATTGGAGCCCAAATCCGAGGGTCGGTTGTATGAAGACTGCATGGTAAGCGCTGTCAGGCCTTCGTAATGACTGGTTATATAAGATTTAACCTACTATAGATATATATGGTTTTTGTGATATCCAGAATTATCAAGGTCTCGCTAAGTGTAATCAGTTTCGCCTTCGGCTCAACTGATAACACCTACCTCGACCTTGATAATTCTGGATATCACAAAAACCGAATTCAATAACTGTTTTATTCCACAAAATAACGTTTGGTTCTCAAAAAAAAAAACAGTGAAAAGGATTCAAAATATCACAATAACAGCATAAAAATATTAGAAATCTCATTTACATACTAAAGTTCCGATAAAAATGCCTGTTTTTGGCACAAAAATCATTCACAAAAACGCCGTTCGTTCATGTTGTTTTTCTAGTATTTATTCGTGTATTAATTTAAAACCGCCACTTGCTATAAAATTACATACCGCGGGCTCAACCTACACATAACTGAGTTATGTGTAGGTTGCGTGATTTCCGGCCATATTTAGCTGTATGCTATTGGCCAATCAGAAGGCACATAGTGACTACAATGTATAATAAATACATTTATTGCACTCTACCTTTTTCTGGTCTGCTGTAAACTGCAACATAAACATCTTGTCCATTCCCGGAGCAACTTTGTTTCCTACATCTGAAGGGCTGATCACTTTGAAATAAGGTGAATCTGTTTCTGTCACTTTTATCAACCGAGCGACCTAGAAACAATTAACAAATTATACCATTCACCATTGAGTAACCTACTGCATGTGAACGCAATGAAGAATTCAATTCAAGGACTTTCAAGGCCATGTATGAGAAAATTCATGGGCCATAAAGGGCTGGAAAAAAGATGTTAGAAATCGGTACAAAGTGATGTTATAAACTATTCAATAAAATCAATTCAACAAAATAAGCATGAAGAATTTAAAGACTTTCCAGTTTCTTTACAAAGGGGTGAAGATTAATCTTTCATCGTTGATTAAAGATTTTCCTGCGTTAGCGAGGGTCTTAGCCTTGTCTTGACTGACATTATTTTCGAAAATCGTTTCTCACTGACAGTTAAACAAATTATCAGGTTCAATGGACAATGAAGATCCCCCCTCACAACCTAATGGTTCGCCCCTAAATTAACACTATACTTACTTTATCATTATTTCTAAATCTCAAAGGAACTTGGTATGTTTCGTAAGGTGCAAAATTTTGGAACACAATATCAGAAGGGAATGGTTGGAATATTGGTTCATCGATTTCCAGTGATGTAAACTAGAAGAAAAACAACAAGTTGATGCAACCATACAATATTGTGGTTCCCAATCAATAACATAAAATCATGGTGAAATATTTTTAATAAAAATAAAACAAAATATAATTTTGTTTTCTTACAATCGAAATATTTAGTGTAGGATACGGTCAAATTTGTATGTCACGTGATAGTGACTGCATGGTCACATTTTGGCTCTGGGAACGGAATTGATTTTTAAGATGTCGTGGACCGGTCAAATATTTTGTCAATTAGTAAGGGTTTTCTTGGTGTGCGAATCTTGGTATTGCTGGCAGTCAAAACGATTTACTTCTTTGAAGATCCAGTGACAACGCATCAGTATCAGAATAATAGCATACAACGTTTTCAATAAAAGCCAGTTACTGGCGGTTTATCGTCGCCTGTTAGGCCTCTAACAGCCAGTAATTTCTCTGTATAATGGACCATTTGCATTATAGACTAAATTTTGGTCTAGACAAAAATTTCATCACAGCTTGAAAGAGAATCACAAAATTAGTAATATTCCAAAGTTTCGTTGCGAAATGTTGTAAAATGCGGATAATATAGCCATGCGAAATTTGCAATTTTCAGTCATTTTGTATTACAAATGGGAAATTGATGCCCCAACACCCGATTGGGCTGTCAATTTCCCGTGCGTAATACAAAATGACTGAAAAACGGCAAACTTCACAAGGCTATATTATCCGCATTTTACAACATTTCGCAACGAAACTTTGGAATATTACTAGCCTGCGAACAGGCTCTCAAGCTGAATTGAGAGCCTGCATCGATGACTAATGAATTTGAATATCTGCTTCTCAAATCGTGACACGAAATTCTCATTGGTCAGATGCTATAATTTATATGTTTCCGCTGAGCTCTATATATGTCAACTGCTCTAAGCACTATGCATAAAAAAAAAACACATTAACTGATCATGTTGGTCTTGGCCGTCTTATCTCAAAGCACGAAATGTTCTGTTTTGAGAAAACAGTATTTAAAACATTTGAACTTTTGCTTGAATATCTTATATTTCGAAAAATAGTATAAACTGTACGCTCTAAATTTAGTTTGCACGGTCTAAATTTAGTTTGCACGAAAGTTGTAAACAACACCATATAAGGATAGACATTCCATATTTGGAAAAACGAACGTTACGGGGCAGATATTCAAATTCATTAATCATCGATGCAGGCTCTCAATTCAGCTTGAGAGCCTGTTCGCAGGCTAGAATATTACTAATTTTGTGATGCTCTTTCAAGCTGTGATGAAATTTTTGGCTAGACTTGTCTAGATCAAAATTTAGTCTATAATGCAAATGGTCCATTGGAAATAAGAATATTTATATTTTCTCTGTATCTCGAAATTTTTAGCACGAAATTTTCTAACTGCAGCCTGCTATTACAATTATTATTGAAAACACTGCACGATAATATGATTTATTATCAGGATTTTGTGCATGACTCACTTGATAGAACTATAATTAATCGTTAAAGGGTTTTGTAGATGGGGATTTCGAGTGTACAGGCCATTGAACTATAAGTAAACTGGAACGATAACTCCTATGATAAAGGCCTATGTTTGGGTGAAGTCAAATTTCGGGCGCTCAAGTACAGCCTGTTCGCAGGTATGTATACGAAAATAAATACACAAAAATTTTCACGATGTATTTTTACTAATTTAATCCCTAATTTTAACTTATTAAAGTACGTTTCTGGATGTTTGAACTCCATTAACAACCGTGTCTAAGATTTTTCTACATAAAATTGTATAAATTTGTCTCTGAACTCTTTCTGGAAAGTCTAAAAACTCAGAAAAACCATACATTTTCACGCGGTTTTTTGCCGAGTTTTTGTTCGTGTCATATTTCGGCAGCTAAACAATATTTACTTATTTCATGTGCCCTAAATAAAAGATGTGTTGTCTAAGTGTGCTCTGAGATAAATATAAATGCCTTGCAAGAAGTAAAAGTGAGAAAATATTAACGATTTTTAAGCTATATTTTTCGCATCCATTTTGTAAAAAAGGACTGGGGCTATATACCTGCAGAAAACACTCATAACCGGCTTCAAAGATGGCGGCCGACTTATCGTTCCAGTTACTTATAGTTCAATGGTACAGGCCCATTTCCACCCAAGAAAATTTTCCACGGAGAAAAAAATTTGTAAAATGTGATCGGCCGACACAAATTTTCCGTCGGAAAAAAATTTTCAAGTTGAAAATTTGCAACTTTTAACAATGATATTTTCGGAAAATTTTCTGCCCGTGGAAATATTCATATTTCAGTAATGGACCTAACATGGAGCATTGGGAAAAATGCAACCAAGACCCGGCCCTCAGGTTCGACTCCTGCCAACGAGTCTATAGTAAATCTGTTGTATTTTTGGCAACTGCTCCCGGTCAGGTCTATTAATAAATGTATAAAATTTTAGAATCGAAATTTCCAGCTACAAAACCCTATAATACGATCTACTAGGCGCTTCTTGTGATGTTGCGTTTTGATTGTCTTCGGAAGGGCTCATGGACGTTGAGCAATGTTTTGAAAGAAACATTTTAGTAATTGTAATGAAGGGCAAAATTGCATGCGTTGTGCAGTTGTTAAATGGTTTCTTTACTATGAGGAAGTAATACTCTTTCTTGGTTTGTCCACTTTTATTTTACTTTTAACATACGAAATAAACCTTTAAAAATTATATATCTCGTTTTGTTTACTTTCAACGTGCTCATTTCGTTTTTCGCCCGCGGTCCTACTGACCATATCGCGTTTCTATAAACGCCATGTTATACTAACTGTTCGTCGAACACTGTCTAACACTCTCCCCCACTAAACAAATGGCATCCGTGGCATTTGTCTTATTTACGAGTATCTATTTTAACTCTAAATCAGTCTTCGTTTACATCACAGTTTGTTTGGCATAACGTCCTATTCCAATAGGACAGTGGTTGGGTTGATCAGACTTTTCCGTTGCCAAGTCTAATAACTTCTTAATATAACTGATTTTCTTAAGTATCCGTAATACTTCAGATAGTCCGGATCAACAAATCCTTGGACGTGGAACTTTCAACCAAGTTTTTTTCTGTTTTAATTTTAAAATAGCAATATAATATAATGATATTACTGACTTCAACTCAGTCTTCGTATCCTATCACAACTGCATGGGAAACATGTGGTAGTTGTAAGACCATGGATGTTGTGTTGGCATCGGGACTTGATAAAGTTGAGGAACAGGTTGCTGGGAACTATAGGGTTGTGGGATTGGTTGTTGGAATTGATAAGGTTGTGGGATTGGTTGTTGGAATTGATAAGGTTGTGGGATTGGTTGTTGGAATTGATAAGGTTGTGGGATTGGTTGTTGGAATTGATAAGATTGTGGGATTGGTTGTTGGAATTGATAAGGTTGTGGGATTGGTTGCTGGAATTGGTAAGGTTGTGGGATTGGTTGCTGGAATTGGTAAGGTTGAGGGATTGGTTGCTGGAATTGCGAAATCATGGCTCCACAATGATAACAGGCTGCATGCCCAGGTGCATAATACACAAGACGTTGTGGAGGTTGTCTATTTCTCTGGGGACGATTTGCAACATTAGCATCTACTGTTTCTTCTGTGCCGGCTACAGGATCGTTGTTTGGAACGTTATCGGGTTCTGCTTCATCAGGTTGGTCTTCGCCATCTACGAGTTGTTCCTGAACTGTATTATCTTCAGAACCGCTTAGCTGGTCTTCTCCATCTACCATGCAGTTGTTCTTCAACCCCGCTTGATTGGTGTTGTTGAGTTTCTCGTTCTTTCACGATTGGTCGTATTTTGCAGTTCCACTCGTAATCCATGTGACACGGAAGGAAATTCATCTTCGTCATCGGATGAGTCAACAACGTTCTCGCCAACGGACGTGTCTTGAACAGGTATTCTGCGTTGTCGAGGTTTTGGTTTGGCTGATTCGCTTGTGAGGTAATCATATGGGAGTAACATGTTTCGGTGTAGTGTACGGGGTTTTTTCGTTGAATTGGACTCTGATCGAACTTCATACACAGGGCTGTCTGGCCCTTTTCTTGACACCTCCTCCGTGCACCTCCTCCTCCCAAAGAGATCGTAGCTTTCCCGGGCCTCCTCTAGGCGAGAGATTGCGAACCAAAACTCTGTCTCCTTCATTTAACATTGTTGATCGAGCTTTCTTGTCGTAGTGTTTCTTTCCCCGTTTTGCGTTCCTGTTCGCTGCCGTTGAAGCTTTCGCGTATGCTTCTTGCATTGCTGTTTTCCATTTGGCAACGTACTGAGGGTACCCGGTTGGATCATTTGCCTTTTCCATCTTAAATGCAAGATCAATTGGCAATCGCGGAGATCGACCAAACAGCAAGAAAAACGGAGAGTAACCAGTTGTTTGATGACGAGTACAGTTGTACGCATGTACTAACTTCGCAACGTGATCTTTCCAGTTTGATTTATGTTGTTCAGGAAGGCTTCTAAGCATGCCAAGAAGTGTCCTATTCATGCGTTCCACTGTGCCATTCCCTTGCGGGTGATAGGGAGTTGTACGCGAGTGACCAACTCCTGACAACTTCTCTAACCTATTGAACAAGTTATTCTCAAATTATTTACCCTGATCATGGTGAATTCGTTCAGGAAATCCAAATCTGGGAATAAAGTCGTTGTATATCTTGTCAGCGGCCGTAATCCCCGCTTTGTTCTTAGTAGGATATGCTTGTGCGTATCTTGTGAAGTGGTCAACCACTACTAATATATATTCATAACCTCCCGAGCTACGTTCAAGATGGACAAAGTCGATACCAATAAGCTGAAAGGGGGAAGTTGTGGTAATGGATTGAAGTGGTTCTCGAGTTGGTAAATTGGGTCGTTTTTGTCTTAAGCAGCCGCAGACGTGGGTAACGAAGTGCTCGATGTCCCTTCTCATGTATGGCCAGTAAAACCGTTCCCTCGCGAGATCCAAGACTCTCTCGGATCCCAGGTGACCCATGTCCTCGTGTAACTCTTTAAACACGCGTCTACGGAATTCTTGTGGGAGCACCACTTGTGACCGATGGTACAAGATATTAGACTTCGAGTCAATTCGTAGTTTCGGCAATTCAAATAAAAACCGTTTCACCTCAGCTGTTTCACGTTTTCGTTCTTTCAAGGTGGGAGTTTGCTGAGACTTGATGATATCTTTTACACGCTTGATGTTTCGATCTCTGTCTTGGGCTTGTGCAATGTCTACGACGTTGATTTGACCACAGCTAGGGTTGTGCAAAAGAAACGTTTCATCCTCGTATAGCAAGCTTTGATCAGTGGTAAACGATGATAGCCAAGTTACATCACCATTGCCCTGAGCACAGATGGATGTTATAGTAGCTCCTAGCTCTTCCTGCGAAACTGCTTGAGTGCACGACGCCATATACTGTTCAAAGTATCCAGGAAGTCGAGACAAACTGTCAGCATCGGTATTACTTGCACCGGGACGATATTTAATGTTGAAATTGAAATCAGATAACTCGCCCACCCAGCGTAATCCCGTGGCATTTAATTTGGCAGTGGTTAGAACATAGGTGAGTGGATTATTGTCCATAAATACCGTAAACTCTGGTGCGTAGTATAAGTAATCGCGGAACTGTTCCGTCACCGCCCATTTTAACGCCAGGAACTCAAGCTTACCCGAGTGGAGATGGTAGTTGTTTTCTGCTGGACTTAACGTTCTCGAGGTATAGGCAATGACTCTCATAACACCAGATTGTTTTTGGTAGAGTACTGCACCCAATCCATCCTGCGAAGCATCCGTATTCACAATAAACGGTTCAGTATATTGAGGATATGCAAGGATAGGTGGTGACGTGATTCGTTCCATTAGGATGTTCAGTATATCAGCATGTTCTTGCGTCCATTGTATAGGTGAATTTGACGATCGTTGATTGTTGGAATTCTTGCTCGTGTTTCGTTTAGTCACATTTGAAGTCTTCTCTGCTTTCTCCAGTTTCTTGTCCCAGTTCAACAGATCATATAGTGGTTTAGCAATTTTTGAGAAATTCGCTATTGAACGTCGATATACGCCCAGAAGACCCATTATTTTACGTACTTCTCCGACAGTTTTGGGTCTAACTCCTTTCAATTTCGTTACCGCCTCTGTTGCTTTGGGATCCATTCGGTATCCGTTTGCTGAAATGATTCGTCCGAGGAATGTCACTTCTCTCTTAAATAATTCGCACTTCTTCGGCTTTAGCTTGACGCCATGTTCCTTCAGTCTTTGCAGAACTTGTTGTAGGTGGTGTAAGTGTTCGCCGAAAGTCTTAGAGTAGACAATAACATCGTCCAAATACGGTATACAGATATTATCCCTTAAGTCGTCGAGACAGTTCTCCATAAACCTCTGAAAATTTGCTGGCGCGTTGGTCAACCCAAATGGAATCCGTATCCATTCGTATAAACCCCAAGGTGTTATGAAAGCTGTCATTGGCTGGCTCTGCCTATCAACGAAACCCTGATGATAAGCTTTACCTTGGTCAAGTACACTAAACCATTGGTTCCCACCAAGGTTGTCCAATGTTTCTTGTATACGAGGTATCGGGTGACGATCCGGAACCGTTTTCTTGTTCAAACTTCTATAATCCACGCATAAGCGCATTCCACCATCCTTCTTTCGCACACACACTACACTGCTAGAATACGGTGATCTTGATTTCCGGATGAAATTTCTATTTAGCAGGTCCTCGATGTATGCTTTTACCTCCGGGTATAACGGTCGTGGGATGGAAAGATAATTCTTCTGTACTGGTTCATGGTCCGTCAAGTTGATTTTCATTTGTAATTTGATGCACCCGATATCTTCGTCATCTTGTGCAAAGGCGTCCGCTTCCTGACATAACATTTCTCTTGCTTGTCGTTGTTGTTCGGTTGTCAAATCACTCAAGTCTACTTCAGGAACTTTAGATTCTTTGGGTCCATTCGAGTTTGATTTACAACTTGTTTCCGACTTATCAGCAGGACTGTCCTCCTGGTATTCCGTACCCTCATCACTTAATTTAACTTCTAGCGGAGTTACAGAACGTACTAACTGAAGACGACCAAGTTCTAAGCGTTTGGGCAAAACAATATCACGTCCAGTAGTATTTGAGACTGGGATATCTATAATGCTGGACTTTCCCATTTTGATGGTGGTTAAAGTTTCCTGGATTGTCAGACCAGAAGGCCAATTGACTTCTTCGTTCGGCTCAAATAGCACTGGGCTATCACATTGCACCGGACCAGTGTTAGCGCGGCACGACACACTAACTGACTCGCCTTTTGGAATAATAACATTCTTTTTTGAGGTTCTTACGGCACATAGACTTTCACTACTGTCACTTCGAATAAAGTTAATCAGAGCGTTTGCATCCGTTTTCACAAAACTTCTCGTTACAGCTGGTAGCACCTGTTCGGGATTATTATCCTTAATAAACAGTTCGATTACGTTATAACCGATAATTGGAATGCTAAGTTCTTCTTTGGTCACTAAGAATGGTACTGAAATTTCACTTGTCGCACCATCCAATAGTCTAAAGTTTATTCCTACCCATCCATTGTAGGGAATCCGAGTCCCATTAGCCGCCTCTAGCTTTAAGTCTGCTCCACTTGCTAGCAATTCTCTAATGTCCTTAACCAAAAGGTTGGGGAAATTTTCACGCAGGACTCTTTCTGGTATTATTGAAACCTGGGCTCCTGTGTCCCATAACACGTCAGTTTCTGTACC